AATTTTAGTTATTTAATTGACCATACCCTCATTACTTTCTGCTTTTAAACACCAAGCAGAAAACTAAACAAATAGAAACCAAAAAATGTAGTTGTAACATCCCCAAAATACGGACCAAAAATTTCATTTTCAATATAGCAATTCATAAAACAATTTATAGAAATCATCATCAAGTTAATTCCTTTCATCAAAAGCCATTGAACATAAGTCTAAAAAATATGTCATAACAGATCAACAATATTAGAGTACAATCCCAAGAAATCTCATATGCGGAAATCGTATGTGTGATGCGCTGCTACCGCGCCGGCTCCTTTCCTTTCGTGGAAGAAGTACCTGCAACCAAAACTGAAAACTGTAAGCATGAAGCTTACTGAGTTTCCCCATCATACCACATACCATACAATAAACATACTGCCACGCATATATGGTGTCCGGCCTACCCTGCTGAGCATATCTGGGTGCTCAACTACCCTTGTCAGGCATACCGGGGGTGCCCGGCCTACCCCTTGTCAAGCATATATGGGTGCTCGACCTACCCTGCCAGGCATATCTGGGTGCCCGACCTACCCTGTCAGTCCTTACAACCGATACTGGGGTCTATCCCACCCCTCATATTACTATCACATAAAACATAGCATATTAGCACATAACACATAACAGATAGTGGAATACCAGACAATTATCACAAAGACAATCATATCTACTATAATCAACTACTAGTGGGCCGATATTGGTGCCTTCGACCAACTTCTACTGGAAGGTAACTCACCTCAACGTCGTAAAGTAGCTGAACTGTCCTCGGCTTCGGGATCAACTCCTCTCAAACTCCTACACATAACAATCTCCTTTAATTACGCTTTTAAGGGTCAACTCTGATTAAAGGTCAAATTCAAAGGTCAACACTCTGGTCAAAGTCAACCTTCTGGTCCAAGTCAACCTTTTGGTTGATTCAACTCGCCGAGTTGTTCCATCAACTCGTCGAGTTCCCGAGTCCATAAAACTCTCGAGTCTCGATCCTACTCGTCGAGTTCTTCCACGAACTCGTCGAGTTCCCCTTCATACAAGTTGGGGCATTTCACTCACAACTCGTCGAGTTCATCCTTGAACTCGTCGAGTTCCTCTTCATATCAGTTGGGACATTTTGCTCTTAACTCGCCAAGTTCATCCTTGGACTCGTCGAGTTCTTTGATCTTCAAATCCATAAACATGCCCAAATCGTTGAGTCATCTTCTAGACTCAACGAGTTTGCTCAGTAACAGCAAAGGTTGGGGGAACCACGGCCCAACTCTTCGAGTCGTATGAACGACTCGTCGAGTCCCCCAAAGTCCAAATCGATCCAGTCAATTTTAATCGGGCTTAATGCATCCAAAACGTAGATCTGGCCTCCTAGGGTCGATATAACACGTAAAGTTACAAACTTTACGTTCATGCATGGGTTATCTATCTCAAAAGGCCCTAAAAAGTGGTTCATATGAGGCATGGGGCTCCCATGGCCATAAAGTTGGCACCTTTATGCCATGGAGTCCCTCAAAGTCTCTGGATCTGAATTTATTACCTGAAAAGATGCTTGCATCCATGAATGGTTCCATAATATGCTCCAAAAGGCCCTAAACTACCCCATAAAGAGATCTAGTAAATGAATAGTCAAGGTATAGACTTTATACCTCAAATGAGTCAGGAATGCAACACAAACTCTGGATCTACTTGCTTCCTCTAGAACCCCCAAGCTTCCTCTTCATTCTCAAGCTTCAAAATCACCAAGAACACACAACAATCGCTCAAGAACAATCAAAATGGGCTAGGGTTTCGTGACTAAGGTTTGGAGGTGATGGAGGCTGAAGTTGAGGCCAGTTAAAGTGTTTAAATAGGGTGCAAGCCCTGAAAATTTAGGGTTTCACCCTAGCAGCCCTACTCGTCGAGTCGAGGCTCTCGACTCGTCGAGTAGGATTCAAATTCCCGCGTCCAATCATTCGTTCCTACTCGACGAGTCTGGGGCCTCCGACTCGTCGAGTCCCTTTGCAAAAATGAATGCTTTAATTTTAAAATACTTACCAGGATTCGGGTGTTACAGTAGTGCAGACAAGTGATCCGACTACAATAACTCGATTTCGTTTCTAGATCAACTGTGAGTGATAGTACTACCTTTGCTTTCAAACTAAATGAAACTAAACCGTGAACATTGATAACAATACATTGGTTGCTCTTTCTCCTTGGTTGCTCGTTCTCCTGAGTTCAGAACCAGACACTTCATTTAGACATTTACCAAGTCAAATATCTAATTCTTGAAAATCTAGTTCATCCATTAGGTGATAATAAACTCGAACACTAATTAAACTGTATTATTATTCTCACAAATGTAACATATAAGTTCCTACTATAACACATGATGCTAGATCTCACGTAGTTACTACTGAGGTGTTCACAACCAGCATGAAATTTTACAAGGGAATAATAAAGTGTTACTAATGCATTCCAAAACAATAAACCCATATGGAGCTTCGTATGTGAATCCCTTCTCATGCCCTCTTTGTAACACCCAAAAATTTCAACCAATTTAAAACATTTCATTTCATTCAAAAACCATTAAGTTCATACATCTTGTTTTCAAAATAGTTTAGACATCAGAGTATCCCCCAGAACCATATCTCATAAATCATAAAACATGAGGAGCGGTACGATCACGCCTTCGCCTTGCCACGATCTCCTGAAGTACCTGAAACGATAAACTGCAACTGTAAGCCCGAAAGCTTAGTGAGTTCCCCCAAAGTACCCATACACACATAAGCATGCGCATGCAACAAAGAACTACATACTATGGGTCCAATCAACCTTTCGGTTGGAATACCCCTGGCCGTCAACCATCGGGTTGGAATGCCTACATACTACGAGCCCAATCATCCTACCGGGATGGAATACTCTCGGCCCACAATCATCGGGTTGGAATGCCCATACACCTATACGTACAACAATAACTACTATGGGTCCAATCATCTCGCAAGATGGAATACCCCAGGCCCTTCAACCATCGGGTTGGAATGCCAACATACTATGAGTCCAATCATCCTACCGGGATGGAATACTCCTGGCCCACAACCATCGGGTTGGAATGCCCCACTTCCTGTTCATACAATAACTACTACTATGGGTCCAATCATCCCTCAAGATGGAATACCCCAGGCCCCTCAACCATCGGGTTAGAATGCCAACCTACTACGAGTCCAATCATCCCACCTGGATGGAATACTCCTGGCCTACAACCATCGGGTTGGAATGCCCCTACACTAGCAAACATGCACACATCACAGGCAACCACATAACACTCTACAGAACCAACATACTAGGGCCCTATCATCCTACTGGGATGGAATGCCTTCTGCTACCGCTCAACATACATATCCACCAGGTAACCTCCTACCAGCGTACATAAGGCAAGACCAACTACAGGTCTATAAATATAACCACTACCCAACTACCAGGGTGCTGCTCCAACAAAACTTGCCATCACTTAACTACCTTATCCTCCAGGATACTAAGCTAACAGAGCATAACATCATATCATTATCCTATCTACCAGGATACTAGCAAGCATATCATCACATAAGCATAACAAGCTATAAACAACAATTCAAAGGGCCGGCCTTGGTGCCTTAGACCCTTGAGTACAGTGAGGATAACTCAAATGAAACGAAGAACCAAACCACGAAAACACACTCCCGAAGCACTGCTCCAAACCCCAACACCTATTGCTATCAATGGACCATTGACATAAATAACCAATTACCATAACACCCATGAAGGTCAAAGTCAAAGTCCAGGCCAAAGTCAAACTTCATGACTGACTCTACTCGCCGAGTCAACCCGTTGACTCGTCGAGTCCTTATACTCTGAAAACTCTTAGAACACGACTCAACTTGCCGAGTCACCCCAAGACTCGTCGACTCCAACGATCTCCGAGTCCCATCCTGCTCAACTCACCGAGTCACCTCCCAACTCACTGCTTCGAGGTTTAACCAGAAGAGATTGGGGTTCTGCAACCAGACTCGTCGAGTCCAAGAACAGACTCGCCGAGTCCAAGGCAATCTTCAACAGACTCGCCGAGTTGTTCTTCCAACTCGCCGAGTCCATGCACATGTTCATACAACTCGTCGAGTCTCTCCAGTTCTCAATCCATACAGTGGCTTTTCGAACCATGCAGGGGCTCAAATCCATAGATCCACCCTTCTACAGTCTAACCCTCACATAAAGTGGCAAACTTTACATGAAACCAAGGAGATATAGGCCCAAAACACTCTAGGGCTAAGGTTAAGGACTAGGGGGCTTCACCAATATCTCTTAGACAGGAGCTTTATGACATTTTGGACCATCACAAGCCTAGATCTGAGGTAGCAACCTCAGATCTAAGCCTCTAACTCGAAATAGCTCTCAATCATACCAAAAATGCCCCAAATCTCAAATGATAAAAGATCTAGATGCAAAAGAGCCCAAGCAACAAATTATTACCTCCAATATAAGCTCCAACTGAAGTAGATCCCGGATCTACATCACTCCTTTGCAGCAAGCCTTTTGATCTTCAAGCCTCTTTCCAAGATTTCCTCCTCCAAAGCTCTATTCTCTGTAATAATGGAGGCTCACTCAATTTTAGGGTTTCTGGATCTCAAAAGGGGTAGTAAAGAGGCTAAGGGTGGGTTATAATGTTCTTTATATAGGGCACAACCCCCCGGGATTAGGGTTTTCTCTCTACAGCACCAACTCGTCGAGTCCAAGCCGCCGACTCGGCGAGTTGGCCACTTAAACCGTGACAGAATCCCGCTCCGGCTCGGCGAGTAAGCAGACCTACTCGTCGAGTCCCTTCTTTTATTTACACTTTTGGCCCTTCATTGAACTTCTGAAATTTCGGGATGTTACACTCTTTATGAGTCGGAATGGTAAATTGAGATTCCATTGATTTCAATTTCATAAAATCAATTTCAATTTCAATTCCAGAAAATCAATTTCAGACCTTATTGGCGTTTGGAAGGAGTCGATGTTGCCGATTCAAGCCTATTGAATTTCGATTCTTCGCTTGTAATGAAATCAGCATCCCTTTCAGCTGGGGAAGGTGCAACTTCAGCATCAATTTCTGATGGTGTCGCCATGGTCGATGGGAAGACGAGATAAGATGTAACATAAGCAAGGGGGCTTCGGCTGGAGGTTCTGCTCAAGAACGCGAGTTTAGGGGAAAAGGGCATTGAAAGGAAGATTTTCAGTCAGCTATAATTTTGTGAGGTCTCGATTTGTGCTTCTTATATGCGAAGTCTCAAGGTTTGTGCTTCTTATATGAGAAGTCTCAAATTCAAAATCTCGTGGCTTTCAATCACTTGATTTAAACGTGTATCCAACTTTCTCACTTAACCGGTTTCGGCTTAAAACAGGTAAAAAAAAGTGGTTTTCGGTTTTTAAAATATCTAATTCCTAACCGTCGGTTCAGTTTTCACAAAACATGTTTTTAACAAAACCGGTTTAGTTTTTTCGTACAGGTTTCAAAAAAAACTGGTTCACTCTGTACACCTCTACATATGAATAGTTTTTGATGTGCATTAGTTTGAATTTTTTTATTGGACAATATTTTATTGTGATTTGATATACTTTACTTTGAAGTTATGTTTTTTTTTATGTTGAATGATTGATTGTGTAATAGTTTTATCATTTATAAAATATTTATAAAAAGTTAGCTATGTGAAGAAATTACCAAAGAGAAAATAAATATTAAGATGAAGACTCATTGTCAAAAAAATATGGTGGCGAAAACAACAAAGGAAAAAAACAATTAGAGAAGGGGTATAAACTGTCAATTTATAAAATCTTTAGAAAAAAGTTAGCTATGAGAAGAATTACCAAAGAAAAAATAAATATTAAGATGTGACTCATTGTAAAAAAAAAATGATAGTGAAAACAACAAAAGGAAAAAAAACAATTGGAGAAGGGGTATAAATTGTCAATATATTATTTTTAGTATAATTGACGTAAGAAAAAACAGTTCGGGTTTCTAGCGCAGCGGTATCGAGTGTGCCTTCCCTCCTAGAGGTTGAGGTTTCAAGTCTGATTGGATACATAGATGGTATTAGGTATAATTTAGAAGTAGTGTAGATTTGTCGTTCATATATATATATATATATATATATATATATATGTCATTAAACTCAAACTTTTAGTGGATTAATAAAATTCTTAGATGGAAGAATCAATGCCCTTCAATTAATAAAAACCATTAAAACAACTAACATTTGAAATGCTCTTATGCTATCCCTGAAAATTTGGAAGCCACTAAAGTTCAAACAAAAGTAAGATTTTATTATATGGGTTGGAAAGGCACCCGTTCACCGATTACATTAAACAAGAGAGACTGGATTACTAAAAGAAAAGAAAGGGATTAAAAATTAACAGCAGAACCCTTTGGGCAAATTCAAAAAACCAAGACGCCTTAAAGATCACACACATTTGACGGAGAGAACCTTTAAGCCAAAAGGAAAATTAATTTGTACAATTTCTTCCGAAGAACAATGGAGAGCGGAGACTACTCAATCGTGCATGGCTTAATTACGCATTGCTCCTGAAGGATCCTAAAGCTTTCACTGCTGCTGCTCTCAACACATACTGGTGGTAGAAGGCGGCGATGGCAGCTCCGATCATTGGTCCCACCCAGAATATCCACTGTACACACAACACACACCTCAATCCGTGAGTACACGTACATGGTGGAGTAAAAATGGATTATCAAGAAGGTCCAAATTAAAGACCATAAACGATGAATAATATGATTATAACTTACTTGATCATCCCATGCCTTATCTTTTCCATACATGACGGCAGCACCAAAACTACGAGCAGGGTTGATTCCGGTGCCGGTGATTGGGATTGTTGCCAAGTGAACCATGAACACAGCAAATCCAATAGGAAGAGGTGCCAACACCTTTCATTAATTCATCCAAAAAAACTATGTCAAAAGAAAGAAGAGAAAACAAGTGTCTTGAATGGCTATAGCCTAAACAAGTTCTAATATTGCAGAGTAAGTACTTACAGGGACATGGGAATCGCGTGCATTTCTCTTGGGATCAGTGGCGGAGAAGACGGTGTATACAAGGACAAATGTGCCGATGATCTCAGCACCCAAGCCAGTGCCTTTACTGTAACCGTCGGCGAGCTCGTTGGCGCCACCACCATAAGTATTATAGTAAGTCTTCTGGAAAGCCTTAACAAGACCACAACCGCAGATAGCACCCAAGCATTGAGCAACGATGTACATCACTGCCCTCGGGAGTGTCACCTTCCTAGCCAAGAACAACCCAAACGTAACCGCAGGGTTAATGTGTCCTCCTGAAATTTTGATCAAACCTTCGTCAAAATCCATCAAGTTATCGAAGTACTAAGTGAAACAAATTGATAAGGAAAGAAAAGTTACCGGAGATGCCGGCGGTGCAGTAAACGAGGACGAAGATCATGCCCCCGAAGGCCCACGCGATGCCTAGTATTCCTACGCCACCGCACTGGTCGGAGCTGTGGGCGGGATCGGTCTGAGACTTGTAGCCGATGACAGTCAAGACGGTGATGTAAAGGAACAAGAGGGTGGCGATGAACTCAGCAATGATGGCTCTGTAAAAAGACCATTTCGTGAGTTCCTCGGCGTCAATAAAGGCAGCCGGTGGAGGGTCTTCGTAATCTTTTGCGCCGTAGTCATGACCACCAACTTCAACGTCTTTGCCCATGTTCTTTTGGGAAGTATGTGTGTGTGAAAGTGAGAGAAAAGATAGATAGATGGATGATGAGAAGAATGGAAAAGAAATTGGTTGTATTTATACCGAGAAATGGATTAGTTGGAGACAATGAAAGCAGTGAAGTGTTGATGTTTCATATTTTGTAATAATTTAATGTAACAAAGTTATTGTTTCAGTGGTAAATAATTGTTACTTTTGTTGCTCTGAAATGTTGACATGTCTATAAAATAATATAAAATGGCTATTTAATACATGATTAATTTATTGATTAAAAAATATGTAATATTAATTGCTAAATTAATTGAAGTAGATATATTTTTCTCAACAAACACTTTTAAAGACTATTTGAGTACATTAAACGTCTATTCCGAAAAATAAAATTGACGAATCTCTCGTAAACACAAATTAATTAAACTTATTTATGATTAAACTTATTTATTTATTTTGATCATTTAACTTTAACTAGATTTCACAAGTAAAATCCTTTAAACTTGAATTGAACAAGAATTATTTACTCATAATTTATATGCTCCTTTTCTACTTGTGATATATCCAACCTCTCGGTAGAACTCTTAATATTATATTTCTCAGTAGAACTCTTAATATTATATTTCTCAGTAGAACTCTTAATGGTTTCCATATATTAATTTTAACTGTATTACACTATTACTTTATTGTAATATGTCTCGGAATAATATTATGTGTGATTGTGTTCTATAAATGCAAATTTTCTTGTAAAATTGTCTTAAAATTTTAAAATAAATAACAAATAAAATTGGACATCACTGTCAGTGTCACCCACCACCGTCCATTGTCCTTTTCATTGATCCAACCACTAGCCGTGTGACACCTGGATTCCACTAGCCAATCAGTGTTTAGAGTAGGTAAAGAGTATTTTTCTTCTGCTAACCCAGCCAATCATCTAACGACTGTTTTTAAACATAAAAATTCGTGGCTATTCAACTACCACGTGTCAAATAGCTAGCTACTATGACGAAGTTTTTGTTTAATATTTATTTGAATTTACACTCATTTGAGACACCTCATTTGATTTCAGGGCTTATGTTTTATAGCAAGTATTTTAAGAACATGCATCAATCGTCTATTTCTTTATATATGTATACCTAAACTGGTTTACATTATATTAAGACATCCAAATTACATAATTTAGTGTGATACATCTCTAATACCCCAATTTTCATAATATTGACAACCACGATAATAATAAAAAATTCCTGAGATGATAACAAAGAAAAATATTAATATAAAGGAAATGACAATTTACTAATAGAAAATTCAACAAATAAATAAAAGGTTTGAATGGTACGACTCTTTCATGCTTCATATATATTCTGAACTCTTATATTCTTATTTTTTGTTTGCTACTACCAGCTGCAATGTAGCTTCATTGATTACATAGTTGCACTTGCATAACAATGTGTTTGTAGCATGCTTCCACGGTCAAGTCCATATGGATCATCATCAAGTCAAATACTACAAATAACCTTTTATAAACATAATTTTCGAGGAGACAGGGATAAGTTATAGAAACGGACGATTTTGATTGACATTCTTCAATTATTCATTCCTTCGTTTCAAAAAGATCATGGGTTTTGGCGTTCGACCATTCAGGTTGTGCTCAATTTTATCGGCTGCTAAGGTGATTGACAATGACACTTTGGTGTTGGGGAACGAAAAACTAGATGAAACAATTATATTCCTATTAAATTTGAATGTTTTGGCTTGGAAAATTCGGTTGAATAAAATTCTTATTATAGTCAATCTCAATAATAAAAGAAATTGATGTGGATTCAACGTTATGCCTGATTTTTTATAACCACATCTGAAATATTGATCATGTTTTAGTTTTATGTTCTGTTGCTAGTAATATTTTGAGTCAAGTGACACATGGTAGCAAATTGATATGCCAAATTTTAACTCGGTCAATGAATGTTTGAGATGGGCTGATCAAGTGAAAGTCAATGTTAATAAAAGAAAATGTTTGGATACAATCACTATCTATACGTTTTGAGTGATTTCGAAGTTTCACACTATATAGTTTTTGTAACGATCAAACCAAAGAAACAAAGTTATTTGATACCATCGTCTTAGATTTGTCTTTTCAACTAAAGCACCAAATGTTGATTAGAAAAAGATTAGAAAAAGAAAAACATAAGAACAAAAAGTGAATAAGACACAATATGAGTAAATTGGTAGTAACAAAAAGTGAATAAGACACAATATGGGTAAATTGGTAGTTTTTTGGTTAACAATTGATCATTGAGCCAAAATGAATAGCCTTATAAATAACATTAATTCCCTGAGGACATTAGGTTGGACGGAGTATCAAGACCGTACAATACTGTTTGTTGATGTATACATTTCACCCCATTAGGGAACATCACATTTTGGGTGTGGTTTAGATAAAGAGTTATTGTCACTGTAACCCAACAATGTTTCGTATATTGGTTTAAATGGTCCCTCGTTATTTTTTTTTTTTGCCTTTGAAGGGTACGAATTTGTGTTTTACCGGTTAATTTGGTACATTTACCCGTTTTTTAAGGTTACACTGCCTTGTCAACTGCCAACTAAGCAGGTGAGTCAACAATAACTCAGTGGTGGGTCGACTCATCCTGATTTGGAAGATGAAGATTACTTCCAAGAAGAAGTCGTCAAGGAAATACATTCTTCAATCCCAAAGTTCGTTGATGGTGTTGGTGGTGGAAATAGGGGTAAATGTGATTCAAAAAAGGCGGTTGTCGTTGATGAAGAGAGTGAAAAAAGTTTTGGTGGTGAGTTGCATTACAGAAGTGGCCCAACTATCGTAGAAGACGAACCAGTGGAATTCGAAGTTCATGTGGTTGATAAAGAAGAAACATATAGATCGGAAAAACCTCTTGCTGACTTTCAAAACGATTCCGAAGTGGTTAGAGAAATTCAAGTCAAATTTGATCGAGCTTCAGAATTCGGCAATAAGCTAGCAAAGATGCTTGAGGTCGGAAAAGTTCCACACAACAGAAAACACGCCGCCTATCAAGTTCCCTCAAAGATGTTGAATGTCTTTTCACCGTCATTAGCAATCGCAACTTCTAAATACACATCTGCAGAAACCACCAATATTTCCAACTTAGACGTTGGTATAGATTTAAGAACAAAGTCAAAACATCTTTCATCCACCTTACATAAGCTCTATCTCTGGGAAAAGAAATTGTTCGAGGAAGTTAAGGTATGTTAACATTTTTATTATCACTTTTCCATGGATGTTGTTCTTGAATCTTTAATCTTGTATGTAAGTTTGAGTTTTTTTATACTTTTTCATATGATTCATGAGTAATCAATCTCCATTTTTAGGTTAACAAGAATGTGGAGGTCAATTTTGGAATGCCACCATAGTCAAACTCGAGCCATTGCATCTCACAAACATTTTAATGATGATAGTCTTGAAGCCACATTACAGCTTGAACATGAACTTTTAAACTAGACTCTTAGATTTTCTTGTTGGTTTGGAGAACAAAAGGGATTTATAGCATCATTAAACAACTGGCTTCTAAAATATCTCTTATACATCCCTGAAGAAACAATAGATGGACCTGTTCCATTTTCCCCTTCAAGAATCGGTGCTCCAACTGTGTTCATAATATGCAACCAATGGGACAAGCAATGGAAAGGATTTCAGATAAAGAAGTGATGGAATCCATGCAGGATTTTGTGAGGATTGTGCTTCAGTTATGGGAAAGGGATAAACAAGAAATAAGATTATAAGAATATTGAAAGGAAAGTTAAGGATTTGGAGAGGGAGGATGTGAAGATTCATAAGGAGTTGCAGGTTCTTGATAAAAGAATTGTTGTTGGTGGTTATGGAGAAGATAATAGGATTTCAGCTGTTTATCAGAGTGAGACCGGTAAAAGTGTTGGAGCTCAAGCAAATTTGAGACTTGTTTTTGAAGCTATGGAGAGATTTACAGCTGCTTCTTTGAAAGCTTGTGAGGAGTTGTTGCAACGTATTAAAGAAGATAATGTTTGTTGTGACAATTTTAGAAAAAAAAGAATTAAACTGAAAAATGAGATTAAGGAGCTCGGGTTCATCTGGTTGAATCAGATGTCTAGTCAAGACACAACTTGTCTCGAATCGGGTGAAAGATCTTATTTTGGTTATATGGAAGAAAGATGGTGGGTTTTAGAGAGAGAAACACGAGACAAGATAAAGAGAGGATTAGGATGGGGTCACCGGGTGACCCCTTTAAATTTTTCATAATGACCTTTAAAAACATAAAAACATAAGTTCGTACCCTTCAAAGAAAAAAAAATCTCGAATGGCCATTTAAACCAATATACGAAACACTATTGAGCTACAATGACAATAACACTTAGATAAAAGTATTATTACTTACCGTCTTATTTGGCATTATCAAGTTATTTTACAAATACTTATCGTTGTTAGTAATTGTTTTACAAAAAAAATCAATATTGGAATTACAAATATTTCAAAACAAAATAATAATACTATTAGAGAAAATTATTACTATTATTGATATATTATAAATTATCACATATAAATGAAAACACTTTAACAATACATAAGCTTATGATTTTATCAAATTTTTATTAATAACTAGAACTAGAGTATGCCAAGTAATTTAAGATGATATTTTCTATATCAGGTTTTATTATAGCCGATTATTTGGAGATCTCACATTGACATGGTTATACGTATTTTTACATCTATCATATTGCTCAGCTCAGGTGTCACACATGATAGCCCACTATACATAGCCCAATACTTACCCCAAAGCCTGTATTAATCAAACTTACATTTCAGATGTGTATTATTTATCTTTACATTAATATTGAATTTAAGATTTTGTTTGGTGCTACTGCTACAACATGTTTGCTCATATCACCCAATGACTTGTTTTAGCCATAATTTTTTTATCTGGACTCAAATTTATACATGGCTTTTGCTTACGTTTATTTTTTTAACACGAAGAAAACTTTAAAACAAGAAAAAAAAAGGTTTCAAAATTAAGAACTCAATAAGTGACTTAATGGAACACTTAATAGGATTTTAACACATCTTATGATG